GTCGTCATCTGCCCACCTCAGCCTCCCAAAGTGCTGGGATTACAGGCGTCAGCCACTGCGCCTGGCTCATTGAGTGGGTTTCAGCAGAAGAACATGGGAGTAATTCTCTTTCCATCTGATTTTCCTGGCTGCAGTGTTGAGTGCCTGGGAGACAAGTCAGCAGAGAAGGATGGATTCGTCCACCCAGGCTGCCATAACAACCTACCACGAACTGGGGCTTCCACAACAAGAATGTCCTGTCTCATAGTTCTAGAGGCTGCAAGTCCCAGATCAAGGTGTTGGCAGGGTTGTTCCTTCTGCGGGCTGTGAGGGAGAAGCTGTTCCGGGCCTCTCCTCCAGCTGCTGGTGGTTGCTGGTGATCTTTGGTCTTCCATGGTCTATAAAAGCATCACCCCCTCTCTGCCTTCAGCTTCACATGGCATTCTCCCTGTGTCAGTGTCTCTGAGTCCAAAGTTCCCCTTTCTATGGCCGAGCGGGATGGTTCACACCTGTAATCCCAGCACTTTGGGAGGCCCAGGCGAGCAGATCACTTGAGGTCAGTAATTCGAGACCATCCTGGCCAATATGTGGAAACCCTGTTTCTATTAAAAATACAAAAATTAGCCGGGCGTGGTGGTGCACACCTGTAATCCCAGCTACTCAGGAGGCTGAGGCAGGAGAATCACTTGAACCTGGGAGGCAGAGGTTGCAGTGAGCTGAGATCATGCCACTGCACCCCAGCCTGGATGACAGAGCCAGACTCTGTCAGCTCCCCGCGAGATTGAAAAAAAAAAAAAAAAAGCAAAAAACAAAAAAACAAAGTTCCCCTTTTTTCAATGACCACTCAGATTGTTTTAGGGCCTACACCACTGCCCTCATTTTAACTTGATTATCTCTGTAAAGACCTTATCTCCAAATAAGGTCACATTCTGAGGCATTGGGTATTAGGACTTCACCATGTGAATCTGGCAGGGGGAGGGACACAATTCAATCCACAACAAAGGGGGAGAATAGATTAGGAGCGTAGGACTTGAACTGGAGCCACGAAAGACAGACAAAAAGAGGGCCTAGGCTGGGCATGGTGGCTCACGCCTGTACTCCCACCACTTTAGAAGGCCAAGGTGGGCGGATCACCTGAGCCCAGGAGTTCCAGACCAGCAAGGCCAACATGGTGAAAACCAGTCTCTACTGAAAACACATACAAAAATGAGCTGGGCATGGTGGCATGCACCTGTAGTCCCAGCTACTTGGGAGGCTGAGGCAGGAGAATGGCTTGAACCCAGGAGGTGGAGGTTGCAGTGAGCCGAGATCGCACCACTGCACTCCAGCCTGGGTGACAGAGTGAGCCACTTGAAGGAGCATGGGCCACTCCTTTTTTGACTCTGTCAAAAAAAAAAAAAAAGAGGGACTGGAACAGAATCATTTGAGGATGTAAAATCCACAAGTCTTGCTATTTCATTAAATGTGGGGGAAGGAGAGTTCAACGTCTAGGTGTGGAGTGCCTGCATTTCAGAGTTATGTAAGCGTTAGGACCAGAGGAGGAGAATGGGAGAGGGGAGTAGAGGGGATTGCACTGTAAGGTAACAGATCATTCTAGACAAATCGACCTTGGAATATCATCCCTTAGGTGAAACAGGAGAGAGATCAGAACCCTAAGGCATGTTAGGTAGTGAGAAGCATGTAGACAGAAGTTTAAAATAATGAGCAAGCACCGGACACAGTGGCTCACGCCTCTAACCCCAGTGCTTTGGGAGGCCAAGGCAGGTGGATCACTTGAGCCTAGGAGTTTGAGACCAGCCTGGGTAACATGGTGAAACCCTGTCTCTACAAAAAGAACAAAAATTTAGCCGGGCATGGTGGTGCATGCCTGTGGTCCCAGCTACTTGGAAGGCTGAGGTGGGAGGATTACCTGAGCCCAGGAGGTCAAGGCTGCAGTGAGCCAAGATCGTGCCACTGAACTCCAGCTGGGTGACAGAGTGAGACCTTGTCTCAAAATAAATAAATAAATAAATAAATTTAAAAAATAATGAGCAAGGAGGTAATCGCACAAGGAAATCACGCCAAGAAGACAGCCAGTCAAGAACCAAAGGCTAGGGAACCCTCAGGTATCAGGGCTGTGCTTAGTATCAGAAGTTTATTAAAAAATTCCAAGCCGGGCGCAGTGGCTCACGTGTGTAATCCCAGCACTTTGGGAGGTTGACGTGGGCGGAACACTTGAGTTCAGGAGTTTGAGAATAGCCTGGCCAACATGGTGAAACTCCATCTCTAGTAAAAATACAAAAGTTAGTTGGGCGTGGTGGCACGTGCCTGTAATCCCAGCTACTCGGGAGGCTGAGGTGGGAGAATCACTTGAACCCAAGAGGCGGAGGTTGCAGGGAGCCAAGACTGCGACACTGAACTCCAGCCCGGGCAACAGGGCGAGACTCCGTCTCAAAACAACAACAACAACAACAACAAAAAGGCCTTGCGCGGTGGCTCACGCCTGCAATCCCATCACTTTGGGAGGCCAAGGCTGGTGGATCACGAGGTCAGGAATTCAAGACCAGACTGGCCAAGACGGTGAAACCCTGTCTTTACTAAAACCACAAAGATTAGCCAGGTGAGGTGGCAGGCACCTGTAATCCCAGCTACTCAGGAGTCTGGGGCAGGAGAATCACTGGAACCCAGGTGGCAGAGGTTGCAGTGAGCCGAGATTGCACCACTGCACTCCAGCCTTGGCGACAGAGTGAGAATCTGTCTCAAAAAAAAGAAAAAGAAAAATTCCAAAGAGGAGCTAATTTTCCGTAGGAATGTTAGATCTGTGAGAACACCAATGCTGTCTGATTTGTTCACTGTGCCTAGAACGGTGCCTGGCACAGCATAGCAGTTCTATTATAGTAATAATTGTAATTATTATTATTATTGTTTAAGATGGGGGTCTCACTGCAGCCTCAAACTCCTAGGTTCAAGCAATCCTCCAGCCCCAGCCTCCCAAATAGCTAGGACTACAGGTATGCACCACCACGCCAGGCTAGTTTTTAATTTTTTTTGTAGAGATGGGGTTTCAGTAAGTTGCCCAGGCTGGTCTCGAACTTTTGAGCCCGAGTGATCCTCCCACTTTGGCTTCCCAAAGCGCTGGGATTACAGGCCTGAGTCACTGCACCCAGCCAGTTCTATAGTTATTTGATGAATAAAATGTTGAATGAACTATCCAAAGAGAGGTATACGAAAAATTAGGAGCTCAGTGTCCCAAGAGCCATGGAAGTGATGATCTTTTTGTTGTTGTTGTTGTCCCAGGTTTGTTGAAAATAGTACAGCATTGCAGAAAAGATTCAAACAGGTCCCTGAGGTGTTTTGAAATTTATCCCAACTGTAGGCTGAGTGACCTGCAGGTTGGACAGACTGCCGAAATCCAGAAGCTTCAGCATTTCCTTAGTGTCAGGATCTACTTCAATGATCTCCTGACCCAGGGCTGAGACCTCAGGAACATAATTGTCTTTCCTTTCTCTCTCCTCCTGCAGCTTAACGAAGATACCCCTTACTGCGCCTCTCTGAATCCACTTCATCAGATGCGTGACATAGCCTGCTATCTTGTTGCGGAACTTCTTGTTAGGGATAATGGCGATCTCCTCACACACGCGCTTGTTCATGTGGAAGTCATTGCCCAGGTGCATGTAGTACTTTTCTATGATGGCCCGGGTTTCCTTCTTCACGGCTTTGGTGTGAACGTGGCCCATGTTGGCATGTTCTTAGTGAAAAAGCCATGGAAGTGATTTTATCACCTCTACCATGCCTCACTTTAAAAATATCATTTTATGTTACTGATTTTAGTGACTTTAAAATGAGCTACTCCTAAAAGGTTTTTTTAAAAACTTGCTTTGTGACATCATTATAAACACTTCAGCAAAAAGCTCAGGCAATGTAGTTAAACCCTGTCTCCACAAAAAGTTTTGAAAAATTAGCTGGGCATGGTGGTGTGCACCCATCGTCCCAGCTACTTGGGAGGCCAAGATGGGAGGATCACTTGAACCTAAGAGTTTGAGGCTGCAGTGAGCTATGATTGCACCATTGGACTCCAGCCAGGATGACAGAATGAGACTCTGTCTCTACTAAGGAAAAAATAAAATAAAAGCCAGACATGGTGGCATGTGCCTGTACTCCCAGCTACTCAGGAGGCTGAGGCAGGAGGATCACTTGAACCCAGGAGTTGGAGGCTGCAGTGAACAATGATCCCACCACTGCACTCCAGCCTGGGCAACAGAGAGAGACTGTGTCTCAAAAAAAGCAAAAAAAAAAAAAATTTTTTCAACAAAAAATATTTGTGCATGGTGTTTGAATAGATGTTATTAATATATTAGATATTGTTCTTCAAATGTAGTCTTACGTGTTAATCCACAAAATGATCTGAGAAATAAAATTGCTATATACTGCTTTACACGAATGCTTATAGCAACTTTATTTGTAACAGATGAAAATGGGAAATGATCCAAATGTCCATCAACAGGTGAATGGATAAACTGTGGAACAACCATACAATGAAATACCACTCGGCAATAAAAGAGAATGAATATTGACACACACAATGACATTGATGAATCTCAAAATAGTAGTGCTGCATGAAAGAAGCCACACAAGAAACTGCACATACTGTATGATTGCATTTATATAGAATTCTAGAAAATACAAGTCAACCTATGGTGACAGAAAGTAGATTAGTGGCTGCCTGGCAGGCAGGGGAGGACAGAAAGGGGCAGAAGGGATTATACAGAAGTTTGGAGGTGAAGGATATGCTCGCTATCTTTCTTTTTTTTTTTCTTTTGAGATGGAGTTTTGCTCTTGCTGCCTAGGCTGGAGTACAATGCTGTGATCTCGGCTCACTGCAACCTCTGCCTCCCAGGTTCAAGCAATTCTCCTGCCTCAGCCTCCCAAGTAGCTGGGATTACAGGCATGCACCACCACACCCGGCTAATTTTGTATTTTAAGTAGAGATGGGGTTTCACCATTTTGGCCAGGCTGATCTCGAACTCCTGACTTCAGGTAATCCGCCCACCTCCGCCTTCCAAAGTGCTACAATTACAGGCGTGAGCCACCACACCCGACCATGCTCACTATCTTGGCTATGGTGATGGTTCCACTGATGTGTACATTAAACTTATCAAAGAGTAACCTTCATATGTCAGTTATATCCCAATGAAAATGATTTTTAAAATGTGTTTACCCAATAAAAGATGCAGGCAAAATACATTTCAGAAAATATAGTCAGAGCAAGTTTATTGCCAACAGACTATCACTAAACTAACTTCTATATGATGTACTTGAGGCAGAGTGACAGTAATACCACAGGAAAGGTTAGAGATAAAGGGAAGATGAAGACTGAGAAACTGGCAAGCATGTGGGTAACCATTACCACCTATTCTGTCCAATATTTTACTGCAGGTCTTAACTAGAGCAGGAAGAAAAAACGGGAATATGATAGGTGTAAGGATAGGAAAAAAGAAAAAATTACTGTGATTTTCAGAAGTTATGCCTGTCTATACAGAAAACTGAAGACTCTCCAGAGAGTTTTAGAAATAAGAGACTTCACCAAAGTTGCTGTAATATAGGCTAGGTAGCTCAAAATCCATTGCATTCCTATACACTAGAAATAAACATTTAGGTAACATAGTTGAGACCAAAACAGTGGCACATGCCTGTAATCCTAGCACTTTGAGAGGCCAAGGCAGGAGGATTGCTTGAGCCTAGGAGTTCCAGACCAGCCTGGGCAACACGGCGAAACCCCATCTCTACTAGAAATACAAAACTTAGCTGGGCGTGGTAGCACGGACCTGTAGTCCCAGCTTCGGAGGCCAAGACAGGAGAATCACCTGTGCCCAGGAGCTGGAGGCTGCAGTGAGCTGTGATCATGCCACTCTGTTGCAGCCTTGGCAACAGAGTCAGACTCTGTCTCAAAAAGAAAAAAAAATCAGTGGTTGTCAGGGTATGGAGGGAGGGAGGGATGAATAAACAGCATGGAGGATTTCTAGGGCAGTGGAACTCTTCTGTATGATACAATAATGGTGGGAACATGCATTATACATTTGTCCAAACCCATAGAATGTACACCACCAAGAATGAACCCTAATGCACACTACGGACTTTAGGTGATAATGATATGTCAATGTTGGTTCACTGATTGGAACAAATGTACTACTCTGGTGAGGGAGGTTGATAGTGGTAGAGATTGTACATGTGTCAGGGAAAGGAATATATGGGAACTCTCTATACCTTCTGCTCAATTTTGCTGTGAACTTAAAGCTGCACTAAATAGCATCTACAATAGCAGCCAAAAATGTAAGGACCTACAAATAAATCTGGGAAGAATGATGGAAATAATTATAGTGATTACTGTGGCCTACACTACTCCAAGTATGTTACGTACGTGTCTAATCCTCAAAGCAGACCCATGAAATCAATACCATTATTATTCCCAACGCTGTAATTTAGCCACAAAAGTTGATTCTGGAGACAAGTGCCATTTTCCCACAGTCAAACTCCTGAACACAGCCAGGCTTTGGACACATGCACTTGTCAGAGACTGAGTCTCACTGGATGAATCTTATATTCAGTGCCCTTTCAGGCAGTCTTAAAAAGATTTCCTGAGGAACTTGACAAGCGGACTTTATTTATTTATTCATTTATTTTTTGAAATGGAATTTCACTCTTGTCGTCCAGGCTGGAGTGCAATGGCACGATCTTGGCTCACAGCAACCTCCATCTCCTGGGTTCAAGCAGTTCTCCTGCCTCAGCCTCCGAGTAGCTGGGATTACAGGCATGTGCCACCAGGCCTGGGTAATTTTGTGTTTTTAGTAGAGACGGGGTTTCTCCATGTTGGTCAGGCTGGTCTCAAACTCCCGACCTCAGGTGATCCACCTGCCTTGGCCTCCCAAAGTGCTGGGATTACAGGTGAGAGCCACTGCACCCAGCCCACAAGTGGGCTTTAAAATTTATCAAGAAACGTGATGGCCTAAGACAGTCCTTAAAGGGAATGAGATGGGGGAAATTGCTCATAAGGTTTCAGATTTATTATAAAGATGTAGTAACCAAGCAGTGTGATATTGCTGAAAGGAAATACAGACATCCCAAGGAAAGAAAAAGGGGAGTACCCAGAAATAGACCTGTCTAGAGCCATTGATCTTAAGACAGAGGTGGACAGTAGGTCAGTGGGAAAGGATGGATATTCACATAAATTCCTGGGACAATCAGGTATCCATGAGAAAAAATATAATCCGACCCCTACTTTGCACTTTACTTTTTATTTATTTTATTTTAGAGACAGAGTCTCGCTCTGTCACCCAGGCTGAAGTGCAGTGGCACAAACACAGCTCACTGCAGCCTCAAGCTCCTGGGCTCATGTGATCCTCCTGCTTCAGCCTCCAGAGTAGCTGGGATTACAGTCAGGCATCAACACACCCAGGTAATTTTATTAAACATTTTTGTTTGTAGAGATGGGGGTCTTACTATTTGCCCAGGCTGATCTTGAACTCCTGGCCTCAAGGGATTCTCCTGTCACTGGGATTACAGGCGTGAGCCACCACACCTGGCCTCTACTTCACACTTTACATACGAATCAGTTTTAGAGGGATTGAAATGCAAATGTGACATATTTGAAATATTATAGAAGAAATTGCAAAAGAATAGCTTTATAAACTCAGGGTAGAAAAGAATTCCTTAAATTAGTTATAACCACACCAACTCTCTAAGAAAGAATAATCCGATTCATCTATATTCAAATTAAAAAGGGTTGTTAATCAAAACATACCATTTTTTAAGTGAAACATACAACCCATGGGATGTTATTTGCAATGAAACCAAGAAAAGGCTGATCTCTGGGATATATGTTGAGAGGAATAAGGCACACAGCATGAGAACACATATGCTGACACCATGTATATAAAGTTTAAATACTTGCAGAAATATTTATATATTTGTACTACATATTTAGTATATAGTATATATGTCATATACTGTATGCATATATACTAGTACATAGTATACATAACTTTAGTATATATAAATATATAGAATATATATTTAGACTTCAGTATAGAACAGGGCCAGTGGGAATGTATACCCAAGGAGCAGTGTCAGGGTCCTTGGGTGGAAATCACTAAGAGGAAACATCAAGGGGATTCTGGCTAGACCAACCTAACAGGATTCTTGCTGAAGGCAGGCCAGGGGAATCACACATCACCTGGGGGGTGGTGGAAGATGAAGAACTCGATCAGATAGCAAGGATAATCAGAGATTGAGGATAATCAGACATTGAGGATGGAGGGTTCATGCCACACTGACTTAGCAGGGCTCTTTGCTAAAAGTGAATTTTACAAGGAAGTGTGCAGATGTGCTGAGAAGTTTCAGGAGCCTGAGTAAAGTTTGATCAAGTAAAGAATCTTTGTAAGGGCGCCCTCTGCACACCCAGAGAGCCTGGTGGGCAGCTCTTCTAATTCTGGCTTTGCCAGGAACTACACATCTTCCAGCCCATCTCAATTTCAAAACTGCAGATAATTGTATGAGGGCTTAAAGGACAGGATCTGTATCAGGTGCCTAGATGGTTGCTGGTGTTTTATGTTTTTGTTTGTTGTTTGTTTCTTAGAGACAGGTTCTCTGTTACCCAAGCTGGAGTGTGGTGGTGTGATCATAGCTCACTGCAGTCTCGACATTCTGGGCTCAAGTGATCCTCCTCCCTCAGCCCCCCCGAGTGGCTGAG